TGAGGAATGCTTCCGGGATCCGGCGCCAATTGTGCTAACAGAGCCGGCCTTCGGTGTAACACAAAATCAGCTCCCCCCGGGAGCACGCAGGTCGCGTGCAACTGTGGTTCCGCGAACTGCATTTTTCTGGAGGGTGTCTCCGTGGCCTTGGTTTCCTATTGGTAGAAGGGAATCTTTTCCAGGCGGGTCACTGGATTGATAAGTGAAGTAAAATACCCAATAGTTTGGAAAGGACTTTAATGACAAATAGGAGAGGCTAAAACTGGGATTATAAAAGGTGTAAAAACAAGAGACTACGGGTTATTTGTTAAGAAACTAAAATTAATGCCCGGCATGGAAGCGAAAGCCTTTAATCTCAGCACTCAGGGAGGCAGAGGCAGGCAAGTCTTTGAGTTGGAGGCTAGCCTGGTCTACATACAGAGTTACAGGGCAGCCAGAGCTTCATAGATAGACGCTGTCTATAAGCAAGCAAACAATTGAAGTTAATTTTAATTGATAGTAATATCGTGTTTGCTTTTAAAACTCTTTATGGGTTAAGCATACAACACCAACATATGTATACATGTATGCCACAGCAGTTGTGGTGACACAGGCCTGGAATCTCAGCAGCAGCATGTAGAAAGAGGGTGGATGGCCAACCTGGATACATAGTGGGATCTACACCAGCTTGAAGTAAATAGAAGACCTGATTGGAAAATCAATATAACGTGTAAGAATTTACTTCAGGGTAATTGAAAGTGGAAGTAGATTTAGTTGAAATAAAATCGGTAGTTGTTGAAGTTGTAAAATAACGTGAGAATTCATCAGATTAGTCTTTGTGGTAGCCCATACCTTTAAAATAACAGCAGAGGAGGCAGAGGCAGGCAGATCTCTGAAAAGTCCAGGCTGCCCTGCCTCTGCCTCTGGAGTGCTGGGATTAAGGGTGTGGGCCACCACTGCCGGGCTAAATATTTGTATAACTTAAAACTTTTCTGAACAGGTCTTGTGTGGCTCCAGACAAAATCGCAGCACTAAGAGGAAATGGACACAAAGTCCCACCCATAACCAAGAATCTATTTGCAATTGATATCTTCTGGGAAAAGGAGAATCAGGTTTCTACAAGGGAGCCTTACTGTGTATGTCATCCATGCTCTAGGGCAGTAGTTGGACAATGCAAAACAGACTCAATGTTTTTTGTGCACTTTTTGTTTTGTTTTGGTATGTATAATTTTTTGCCTATTGATATTCTTTATTTGTTTGATTGTCTCTTTTGATTTTCATTTTTGTTTTTTTTAAGAGAGAGGGAGAGAGAGAGAAAGAGAGAGAGAGAGAGAGAGAGAGAGAGAGAGAGAGAGAGCACAAACAAATCTGAAGGTGCCTAAGTAAGGAGGTGTGGAGGTTTTGAGAAGAGTTAGGAGAAGGGGAAAGAATTTGATCAAAATATGTGAAAAACTTTTTAGAAGTACACATCCCCAAGTAAAACAAATAAAACGTTTTCTAATTAGGTATAAAAAATACTACTTTTATTATTGAAAGCAAACACTTTTCAATACATGATTAATTTGGTTTTGAGAATTTTCCTGGCCAGGACTGTACAGTGCACAAATCTATTTGACACCCATTTTCTTAATATCATCAAACGCTGCCAGGTGGTGTTTAGACCAAAATCTAGACTATTTCATAAAGGAGAACAATTGCTTATTGAGTTTAAGAGACTTGCTCAAATTTGCAAATTGTTTAGTGCCAAATCCAGATCAGCACAAAATTTCAAAAAGAGGAAGAAAGGAGGTCACAGAAAGACAGTTGTAGGATGGGAGATCTATGCAATCAGCAGTTATATTTTAAGAGCATATACTGGGTCATATGATGTGTTGAGATTCATTAGATAAAGACCCTAAGATTCCCATATGTTACCTAGCTTCACTAGGATCACATAAGTAATGTTTGTCTAGCAGCCTGACTTTAGGAAAGTCTGACAGTCATATCTTTTGTTGGTGTTTGTTTGGATATTGTGCTACTTTCCCTGGAGAAAAGGGGGAATCTTCCTAGACAAGGCACTCAGACCAAAGAAACACTTTCACCTACATCCTGCTTGGTGAAACTGTGTCTTTGGAGATGACTTGCAGAATCATGGGTTATTCAAAGGCAACTGTTTCACCAAAAAGCCTACCATAAAATTGGTGACAACTCACAAAAGGTACATCCCTGAAGCTTCTAAATGGCAGTAAGCTCCACCACCGTATCCCCAGCAGTTATTATTGCTTATAAAACTCTTGGGGAGAGGGACATTGTGAATCTAGTAACTTTCTAATCTTCCTGAGCCTGGCAAGTTTCCTGATCTCTGAGCAGTGAAACACACTTTAAAAATCAAAATGGTTATGGAAAATCTAGCAGTATAGTTATGGTAGATACGTGTGTTAAGTACAGTGACCTATCATTTGAAGGGGATATGATGGACTAGTTGGGAGTTATATAGTTTAAGGAGTTGGCCAAAATTTGCCTTTTCCTGAATTTCTTGCTATTCAGGAGCCAATAATTTGTGTGACTATGTGATTAGAGGAAGGAAAGTTGGCTCTACTCTTGTCCCCTAGTGATGCCACTAACGACACCAGAACCAAGCTCAAATTACAAAGGAGAAGTACAATCTGGAATGAGTATGGCAGAGGTAGTACACTGT